CTCTAGACAACTGGCATCCTCTTCTGATAGCATTGGATTAGCGGCAACTTCAGGGAATCCTCCCCAAAAGACTGTAGGTCCTGGTTTACCACACAGGGGAAGACTGTCCAGGGAATGGATTCAAAAGAATTGTTGTTCTTAGAATTTGTAAAGGAACACAATTCTTCTGGGAGGGTTTGGAGAGCTGTGAAGACTTGGGAGACTAGAGCAACTACCATTTACCTCTTTGCAGTTACAGACATCTCAGAGAATCTCAGGAAACTTACAAACCCTCTATCCAGACACACAAATGCTCTAGGGCTCCTTTACTGAGTACTCTTTCAGTGAAGTTAGAGAACAATTTAAGGTCAGGTTAAAAGGCCTTGGCTCCTACACACTTGTTGCACTGGCAGAAAGTGTGACCATGTCTCACCTATCGTGGCATGATTTGAGGTGCAGTAAGGAAGAAAGGCTGAGAAACAGCAGAAGACAACACTGGGCGGACTGGGGTCCAACCTGACTTCTGCCCTCAAGGCTTTCGTCTTCAAAGCTAGGGATTTCACCTCCTCCTTCAGTTCCTGCCCAATCTCAGATGTATGGACCAAGCCTGGCACTTGGTCTGCTTTGTTCTTTCACTTGAGGTTTAGGTCTAGGATCAAAGTCTAGGAACCAAGCTTTGCCCTGCTCTTATGAGCACGTCCACACCATATATTCTATTTTTCAGGCCTGACTCTCACATTTTGCCCTTTTGAAGTTTTAGAGTCCTGTCCCCAAGATGTGATTGGGTCTTGGATTTTTTCCTACAGTTCACCTCTAGCCTTTCTGTGCTGTTAACCCTGATCACAGGCTGATTACAGTTCCTATTGCTTCCAGATGATTCCAGAAGAAAGTGTCAGCAATGAGCAATGGACTTTTCCAAGGTCCCCTGGAGTTTTTCAGGTTCAAGTTTATCAGTGAAATAGATGCTCTTCCAATCCCTTTGAACCTTCTATCCTTCCCTTCATGAAACATTATTTTGTCTCATTCTATTAGATGCAAGCTCATAGCTCCTGTCTTCAAGAAGTTTATACTCTAATGGGACAAAAAAGAGACACATAATGTGATATGCATTGTGAGACTAAGATAGATGGTGAGGAGACTGTAATATGCAGAATTCTCAGAAGAAAAAAAAAAAAGAAACTGGCTGTGAGCCAGAGGGTCCAGGAAGCCAGGGATTTGAGCAGAGTCCTGATGGATGGTGATGTTTCCCACAAGACAGCCATTCTCAATCTTTTCTTTTATAGACCATTAAGAACCTGATGAAATGGAGGAAAAAAGGCTAAAGATGTCTTTGAGAGCTGTGGTAAAACCAGCTCAGAATTAAAAGTTAGGGTCCTGAATTGCAGTCACAAAGAGTGACCTGAGCAAGTCCTTTTCCAAAATGCATCATGATTATTTTATCTATAAAATATCATTGAAGGAGATAAGACTGGATAATAATTCAGGTCTCTACTTGCTTTAAAATTATATAATTCTATGACCTAGTTCATCACCCTGGATAGAGCCACACTTAGGTTCTTTCAAAGAAATAACCCTTTTCTATCAAAAGACAAAAATAACCTTTCTACCTCATCGAAAAGATTGTAAAATTACTGGAACATATATGATGCACACAGTGTGATTTTAACAAACCTAACATTTTGCACGTTTGAAGTTTAGCATAATAATGAAGGCCAACCGTTACTGAGCAATTAATATAGGTCAAGCAAGTTGCTTAGTACATGCATGCATTACATCATTTAATTCTTGCATTAATTCAATGGATTAAGTGCTCTTGTTATTATTCTTATTTTACAGAAGAGGAAACTAAGGCTTGGAGAGATTAAATTACTTTCCTAAGGAATCTCAGTTGGATTTGAATTTTGGCATTCTGACTCCACAACCAAGGTACCCCATCTCTGTGGTGGCTTATTTTTCCAGTGGAATGAGATTTTTCATCAGTAGTTTATAACCTTTCTTAGGCCACAGATACTTTGAAAATCCAATGAATTTCCAGTCTGTAAACTTCCATCCAGAAATATAAATACTTACACACACACACAAGTACATATGCACATGTACACATAGGCACATACAGATATATTTTCTATACATATTAGGATCCTGAAAACTCTTTTGAGGTCTATTCCATAGACTTCAAGTTTTCTTACTGAAAGTCAAGAATAGCTGGGGGAGACTGAGAAAGGTCAAGATTAGTCAAGAGCACAGATATCTTGTCACTTCTATTTTCTCTGAAGAGTATAGGGCCATGGATGCTGGTTCAAACAAGGGTAGAGCTGGCAGAAGATGCTGATCCAAGGACCCCCATGAGGAACTGTCAGCCTGGTGAGGTTGCTGACATGCTGTTCAAGGGGCAAGGACATTGGGACTCATTTTGTCCACAAAAACGGAATCTCCAATCACTCTTTTTTACCATGAACTTTCTTAGCTTGCTCCCAAATACGATGCCTCCTCAGAAGTGACTTAGGCCTTTCAAAACTAGTCCTAGAAAATGGTATTGTCTCTGCTTATTCTTCCTTACCGGGAGACATGGAGTCATATTCAAGTGATTAATAACCAACACTCTAAAGGTAAAAATTCACAAATGATACGTAAAATCTTCAACTCAGTTTTACTTGTCCACTAAAAAGAACCCCTTAGAAATCAAGACTGAAATACGTGTCATAATAACACGTTTTCTTTTCTTCCGGTTCTTCTCTGAATGTTTGTTTCAAGCCAACGAGGCACAATCTTTGCAAGTGAGACGTGATGCCATTTGTCCACTAGGGGGAGACTTGCCCACACTTATAACCTACACTTCCTCCAGCGCCCTTTCCCTTATTTAGGTAAGAATTGGAACTTGATTACAGCAGCCCCTCATTTACCCTGTTTCCTTTGCTAAGCAAGGCATTTTAGTTCGATTAACAAAATTTTCTAGTTAATGTTCAACTCTCATTTCAGGAAGTGATGAGGAAGGGGAGAAATGACTATCATGCAAATGAGGTAGTGACTTCTCTCCTTTTCCGTGACCTCTGAGAGGAGTGGTTCTCACTGGACCCTGGAAGGCGCCGGCAGCCCGTGCCTCACGCGAGAAAAAGTACAGCTGCAGCGTCGCCAGCTCCAGCGTGGGCAGGGCAGCGGACCCAAAATACGCAGTCTGCAGCCAGCCCTGCCCGTGCCTTTTTTAGATTGTTTCCGGCCAGGCTGACTCACGCAGCTAAGACAGCAAAATGTACCTGAGGCTGTTGCTGACGGTATTCAAACATCCTTATTATCTTCTCTATTTTTTTTCTCCTATACTCCGCCCGGCTCCCTTCCCTTTCCATTACCTCTGCCAACTTATGCCTCAGGCCTCTGAGCAGCCCTTGGCAATGGCCAGTCCTGTGATTGGCTCTCAGCAGTAAAGGAGCAAGTGACTCCGACCTTGTCTGAAGGTCACTCCCCAAGTTCATGAATTTTCTGAGCAACGTGCATCCAATTTATGTCTGGAATGTATCTGTTCTATTAAGGTTTGAAATACACATTTATGCACACACACGTCATTGAGTTTTACTTTTCTGACTTCAGAAATAATTTGAATTGGAAGAATTTTCTTTGTTAACCCAGAAGACGGATGGCATGAAAGTCACATCATGTGCCCATCATTCTTACTCCTTTAATTTGAATTTGTAGGAGACATATACACTAGAGAATAGCCAGGGAGCAGAGCTATATATATCTCTGTTTTCTTTTATTACCCTTAAAAATGTAGTATTTGATTCCGAAGCAAGAAGATTACCCTTACATGTCACTGAGGACACATTCCTAATTTTATATCTACCTAATATCTACTTTTTTTAAAAGTTGTTTTAAACCGAAAGAAATTGTAGGTACTTTGCCTTCTAAGGGGAGAAGTATAGTTCATATCAGTGGGGAAATAAACCCAGGCTGCCGCTGCCTTCCTATGGCACAGAGGTAGGGAGGGGAGGTTCAGAGCGGCAGTCTGCATGAGGGGGAAACTAATAAGGGGTAGATACACAAAGGTGAGCCCTGAGCTGAATCTGGGTGTGGGGCTGGGGAGGAGGAGACTGTTCTGGTTGATGGATAAATTTTGGTAGGTGTGCTCTGAAGGGAGGTGGTACAGAGGGGACTGGAAGAGGAGAGAATGGAGAGTGAAGAGTGGCGTGTCTGAAAAGCATAAGGAGATACTGACACTTAGATGTAAACTTTTTCCATCTCCCCCAACCATCAGTAAAGTCAGTACGACCCAAAGGAATCCTATTGATAATTTTTTTTGAAACCAAGAAAAGTGCTTAGGTCTCATTTTCATGTGTGTCCATTCTTGCAACAAATATCTATTGAACATCTGCTAGGAAGCAGGGTTTATTCTAGATGTTGTGACACAGAGGTGAGTAAGGCAGCTGGAGACTGACCCCTCCTCCCTTAATCCTTGCCTTTGAGTGGGGGAAGAGAGACAATAACCAAGTGAACAAAAGTTAGTAAGATCACTTCTGAAAGCACTAAGTCCTATAAAGACTAGAACAATGGTACCAGTTACAGAGGAAGGTGCCAGTGTATAGGTCAATATCCAATCAGGAAAACGGAAACCACTCCAGGATATTCAAACAAAGAAACCGTAATACAAGGCATTCATTATAAAGTTATTGGAAGGACTGGAGGGACAAAGGGAAGATTCTGACAGCAGGAGGCAAGCAGGAGATTGGAAGGTAGAGGGAAGGGAGAAGGCATGTCTTCTCCAGAATTTGGTGGAGATGTTAGCAGCGGCGGCAGCTTCATAGACAGCGGTGCTTGGTCCCTGCTCAGTCATCAAAGTTTCAAATAACAGCAGAGGGCTTTTACTTTTGCTTCTGCATCCCAATGAGTGATAGCAGCTTCTTGTTAATCTCTAAGTTCATCCACCCAGAGGCATGGGACTTGCTTGAATTTCCGTACAGAGAACAGTTAAGCTCTCCCCTGCCCAGGCTCCTTTCCACTTTCCACACAGTCAGATGACAATTTGAGACTTTTTTTTTCAGGCTTTAAAACTTTTAATTTGCATATTAAAAAAATTGTGCATTCCAATGATTAAAATCATTTGAACAACAACCAAAAAATGGCACTCTGATTAAACTGCATTTTACAGGCCGCAGGACACCGTGGACCAGCTTGCTCTTTACTCTAGATTTCACTGTCGTCCCACCCAGCCTCCTCCTTCACCAACATGCAAGTTCTTTTCTTTCCCTGCCAGCCAGACAGGCGGGCAGATGGGAGAGGCAGGCACCGCCTTCGCTGTCAGTAGTTCTCCATTCTTTGATGTGAAAAGGGGCAGCACAGTCATTTAAATTTGATCCGACCTCTTTGCATCTTACAAAGTTAAACAGCTAAAAGTAAAATAAGAAGGCAATGCTTGTGGAATGTACAGTGCATATTGGCGGCGCACGCCTCCTTATGACTCGCCTGCTTGCTTCTCCCGTTCAATCGTTTCTTTTGAAGCCAGTGGATTTTTCTCTTGCGTTTCTGTTTTCTTCAGTTTCGACTTACGGAATTTCTCAATCTCAGCTCAAATTGACAGTCTGAGACAACACACCCCATAGAAGAAGAAAAGATTTTTGTTTCTCAAGAAATACGACCAGAGAGACTCTAAAATAAGGAACACTAGGCAACTTGGAGGGCTGAAAACAAGAGGGTTTGGTGCCAGTCTACAAATGGAACGGGGATCCTGTCTGCCTTCCGTAGCCTGTTTCCAGATAAAAAATTATCCCACTGCCCTGCCTCAGACATAGGGTTACAGTCATGTTCTCAAAAAACCTGAGCATCTGAACCCCAGACACTGACATTTAGGGGTGTCCCAGTGAGAAGGTATTTCGGCTGTTTAATTTCTTTAAACTATATGCATCTATTATTCTAAATTTTGAATATTTTTCAATGAATGGGAGTACAGAATTAGGCCAGTAGCTGGAGTAGGACATGAGGTCGAGGGGTTTCAAGTTTGAAGGTACTGTAGAATTGTTAGAATAGCACAGCAGGGAGAGAGAACTTGATGACGCAGGAATGAGTGGAAAGTTGCGGGAGCCTAGTTCTTGAGGAGATGAGAAGAGATGACTGGAGGGGTGTGCAAGAGACATAATGGAATAGCTGCAAGACACGATATGCAAACAAGGATTCAGGGGCAGCAGAAAGTCAGAGCAGAAATGAAGGTGACTAAGTACCCCAGGAATTAGCAAACCTCTCAAGGAAGTCATTGGACATTTAAAAGGGAATGATGGCTTGAGCAAATCTTAACTAGATCTTAAGGAGCAGGGTGATCCATTTCACATCTGGGTTCATTCATTTCTCAAGTGGAAGTAAACCATTTCAAAACTGTTTCTAATCAAAAAATTGTCTATCCAGTGTTTTCACTTTAGCCTTCCCTGTTTTAGTTTTGTCTTTTAGTCTTCTATATATACCTTATGTGCTAGCCAAATTGGCCCAAATGAAGCCTCCAACAAATATTTATTGAATGAATAACTGTATCAGACTTACTATCTCTTTGGCCTTGCTGGAGCACCCCGTTCCTGCAGTCCATGTTTTCCTGGGTCTGCACCTCTGTGCCTAGGGTTACAGTTATTTACCAAGTTGCTAATATGTTCTCTAATAACGTGTGAACACATTGAGGCCAGTAACCATATTTTATTCACCTCATTTACCTTGAAAGGCCTGACATATCATCATGTGTATAGGCAGTGCTAAGCAAATAAAAGTTTACTTTTAATTTAATCTCCCCACTCAAGTGTTGGGACTCATTAGTGCACTGACCAGCTGCTGTCCTATTGCACTGGGGCCTCCTTCTTTAGCTATGAAACAACCTCCCAATCAGCCCAGATTGCAAACAGATACCTACTTTTATCACTCCACTTTCATGAATAAGGATTTTTTTCAAACTCACCCACCTTCCTCACATCCTCTGCAGAAACACATACCTGCAAAGGCACACGTGGCATAAAGGCACACGTGCACTAACTCACACATATGTTCATTTGCACACGCACACACACACACACACGTTTTCTCTATATATCCTAAAACTGAATCCTGACTAGTATTCTGAATCAGTTTTTTAAATTTAAATCAGGGTTATTGTGGTATACTTTACATATAGTAAAATTTATCATTTTTAGGTGAATATTTCTATAAATTTTGATAAACTCATTGTATGAGTTATGTTCTCCAGAGAAACAAAACCATATATATATGAAGGGATTTATTCCAAGAAATTAGTTTACACGGCTGTGGGAGCTGACAAGTCCAAAATCCACAGAGGAAGTCCAGCAGCCTGGAAATTTGGGGGCAGGAGTTGATGCTGCAGTCTTTTTTTTTTTTAATATAGTCTTTATTAGGGTATAGTTGATTTACAATGTTGTGTTAACTTCAGGTATATAGCAAAACGAATCTGTTATACATATACATATATCCACTCTTTTTAGATTCTTTTCTCATTTGGGCCATTACAGAGTATTGAGTAGAGTTCCCTGTGCTATACAGTAGGTCCTTATTAGTTATTTATTTTATACATAGCAGTGTGTATGTGTCAATCCCAATCTTCCAGTTTATCCCTGCCCCCTTACCTACCCCCACCCTGTAACCATAAGTTTATTTTCTACATCTGTAACTCTATTTCTGTTTTGCAGATAAGTTCATTTGTAGCCTTTTTTTTAGATTCCACATGTAAGCGATACTATATGATATTTGTCTTTCAATGCTGCAGTCTTGAGGCTGTTTCTTCTTTCTTAGGGGAAACCTCAGTTTTGCTCTTCCACTGATTCGTTGAGGCCCACCCACATTATCAAGGATAATCTCCTTCATTTAAAGTCAGCTGATTGTAGGTGTTAACCACATCTACAAAATACCTTCATGACAACACCTAGATGAGTGTAGTTGAGTAGCTAGGTACCGTAGCCTAGCCAGGTTGACACAAAAAACGTACCATAGTTGGCATGTAGCTGTGTAACCACAACCATAATGAAGATACAGAACAGTTCCACCGTCCCAGAGAATTCCCTCATGCTTCTTTGTGATCAATCCTCCCTGTACCACCCACCCCCAGCCCTGTCAACCCCTGATCTGTTTTCTCCCTGTATTTTTGTCTTTTCCAGAGTATCATATAAATGGAATCATACAATATGTGGTCTTTTGAATCTGGCTTCTTTTGCTTAGTGTGTTGCAAATGAGATTCACCCACATCGCTGCATGTATCAGTATTTTGTTTCTTTTTATTGCTAAGAAAATTCCCTTGTATGGAGTACCACGATTATAAATTAATTTTGTTAATGGGAGAGGTATTATCTCTCATAATTCTATAAATCAGACACGTTACAGGAGTTTGAAAATTTATAGACATGTACATTGAATAAAAAAGACTAGGAAGTTGTCCTAGACATAACCCAATGAGAAATCATGTATGAAGCACACTCCTCCATGACTGCACAGGTATTTTTCCTTGAAAACAATGATTTCATTGGCCACATAGAGTCAAGGCCAAGGTGGATCGTAAAAGCATGAGTCATTATAATCTTCCAATTAGCCATATGGCACAGCAAACTATTTCAGGGCAGACTCAGGTGACACTGATTGTCATAATGGTTAAAGGCTGAGCCACAGAATCAGATCAGGGAAGGGCTGGATTCCTGAACTAGTCAGGAAGATGCTATAAGGCATAACACTGATGAGCAGAGATGACAGATAGTCACACATGACAGACCTACATAGGTTACAGCATAGGTGTCAATCACTCTGCATTAAATGGAAGTATGACTTTCATCCACATGGTCTGACATAACAGAACTCCCTGGGATCTGTGCTTAAGAAGTCAAGGAGGTCCACAGTCTGGTCTGGTCCAGTGGGGCCAGCCCCTCTGGATCTAATGGACCCTCAGTGTGCTATGACCAAACTCCCTCCCTGTCTACGAAGTAGAAGTGGACTGCTTTAGGTAGAATCTGGAGCAAGATCTGAGTGTCCCGTAAGCTCAATACCAAAGTTGAACTCCTATTTTCCATTGTTTATCTGCTGAGTGTTGGGCTTGGGTTCTTCTTTTGCAGTCAACACAAATTTATCCAGAAGTTTCTATGGGCCCCTCACGGTGCTCAGCACTGGGGATATGAGAAACAACAAGACTCTCCTTGTCCCTGTCTTCATGAAACACAAATTCTGTTGTGGAAACGTGTACAATCGAGTATTTAAACACAGACCTGAAAAATCTTTGACTGTGATAAGTCCAAAGAAGGAAGCAAATGAGAAACTGAGGTTCAGAACATTCTAGATGGGTGGCAAGGAAGTCCTCTCTGAGAAAAGACAGCCAGAGCATGAGTTAGGGGAAGACAAAATCACAGACAGAAGGAACAGCATGAACAGAGGCCCTGATGGAGGTTGGGTGTAACTGGAACAGGCAGAGAGAGTGTGAGAGGGACATGGGACAGGATCAGGAGATGTCAGATCACTGGCAGCTTGTGGGATGTGAGGAGTTTGCGTTTCCTTTAGTGAAGAGAGAAGATTTTGGAGGGTTCAGAACACAAGGGTCAGATGATCTGATTGTGTTTTAAGAGGATTATTTTTGCAGCTGTGCTGCAGTGCATTGCAGTGAGACAGGATTAGGAGGGGCAAGAGCAGTTAGGGTGCAGATGCACAAGTCCAGGTGAGAGGTCATAGTGATAACAGAGCTAAGAGAGCTGGAGAGAGGAAGATAGACTGGAAATTTGGGAGATACATATAGGCCCTATTGAAGGATTGTGAATGAGTAAAGGTGAGGGAGAAAACAGACTGATTGAAAACTGTGGTAAAGACTTTTGACATTTAATTAAGTGGGGGAAAACTGGTTCAATCCGTGTCTGGGGGTCAAACAAAGCTGAATTACTATTTGGGGATTCAAATATATAATCACTAATATTTAAAGTTATGGGAATTGATGAGCTTACCCTCACAAAAAATGTCAGAGAAGAGAAAAAGGGCCCAGAAAGAATGTTGAGAGAAGGCAATGCTTTATTCAGAGGTAAAAAAAAAAAAAAAAAAAAAGAATACTGAAGCCCATAAGATAAGAGAAAATCCAGGAGAATGTGGTGGAAAGGAAGTCAAGGGAGTAGTACTCCAAGAATGAGGGCATCACCTGTGGGGCTGAATTCTGCTGAAAGAACAAAGGGCTAGCAGAACAAGAGGGGGCAGCTTTCTTGAAGAAGGGAGGAATGCACAGAGCCTGAGAAGAAGCCTGAGAGCAGCCGGGTAAGAAAATCCCTATTAAACTGATCCCACAGTGACCCTGAGAACCTGTGATTGAGGTCCACTTTTGTTAACTATGGCTTAAATTAGTGCTATTCTGTGATTTATAAGAAACACGTATTTGGTCATTCAGATCACAGAAATATACTTTTCATGTACAACTGGTCTCCATCCTGGTTCCTGGCTCCTAGCTCCCCAAACCCATGGAATTTCCTGAGTGATAAGAGCAATGGAATCACCTTTTGTTATAATCTTTGGTCTCTAGTCCTCAGTTCCTGAAATCATTTCAGAGCCATAAAGGTGAAATGGGTGTCTCGTTATTCATAACAAGACCCTTTCCGCTACAACTGGGCTTATGTTAATGAGGAGATTTTGGAAAGCACCTAAAGATGGGGTGAGGGTACTGGTTGCCCAGGAACCAACCATGAATACAGGGTTGGAACTGGGTCTCACTTCCTGATTTCTGGGGAGGGGAGAAGAGCTGGAAGTTAATCAGTCACCGGTGGCCAGCGGTTTAATCCATCATATGCTCATGTAATGTAGCCTCCATCAAAACCCAGAAGGAAGGGGTTTGGAGAGCTTCCAGGTTGAGGAATCAGAATGCTTCCATGTGCCACCATGCTGAACCTCAAACTCCAAGAGGACAGAAGCTCCTTTGTTCAGGAGCTCATCCTATGTATCTCTTCATCTGGCTGTTGATTCATATCCTTTAATATCCTTTGTAATAAACCAGAAATCTAGTGAGTAAACTTTTTGAGTCCTGTGAGCAGCTCTGACAAATTAATTGAACCCAAGGAGGGGGCTGTGGGAACCTCTCATTTATAGCCAGTGGATCAGAAGCACAGGTAATAACCCTGACTTGTGATTGGCAGCTAAACTGGAGGGCAGTCATGTGGGACTGAGTCCTCAGCCTGTGGGATCTGATACTATTTCCAGGTAAATAGTGTTAGAATTGAGCTGAACTGTAAGATACCTAGCTGGTATTGCTTGGTGGGTATCAGAACCCTTAATTAACAATTTAGTTATACTTAAATAACTCCAACCATCCCCTCAATAGTACCTAATGAGTGATAGTAGTTACTCTATTAGAAAGGCAGCATAGTATATTGAAAATAATATGAAACTTAGGGGTAGGTGGCTGTGACCTTAATTCCTGACTCTTGCCACTAGTAGGTTCTGTATCTTAGGCAAATTGTTCAAATTCTCTGACTCTCAATTCCCTGATCTGTAAAGCAAGGGCGATATTAATGTTTATCTACATACTTATTCTAAGGTAAGTAAACAGTTTTGAAAATTGAAAAGTTATATGCAATGTTAATATAGTAGGAATGAATCCTAGACCACAAACAGATAGGTAAGAAAAATTGTGTTTTATGATTTTACTTTATATCATTTAATTCTGATTTTGGGTACCCACCCACCTCTGAAAGGGTTGAAAATTCAATTTCAGCCATTATTTAACTTTCACCTCCTCCCACTTGAATACTTAGTCAAGATTCTTAAGGTTTTCCATAATACCACAACCTTGCTTTGGAACCACAGACCCCACTAGTTACTATGGAAACACCATATGATTCCTTCAGGCCCAACATCTTCTATGCCACACTTGAGTGGAGGGGCAGCTTCCGCAGATAAACTCTGCAGCCATCCTTCTAGAGGGGCTCCTCCAAGGCAGAAAGCCCAGGCCTACTTGAGGAAGTAAGGGACCTCTTTTCTTCCTCAGCCTTGGGCAATCTTCCTTTTCTTTCCTTGCCCTTAAAAGCCTTTCAATTACTATATGCTGTTCTTCTGGGACACAACATTTTCTTCTACAATTTCAGGAAATGCCATTACTTGAGAGTCATTTTGCTTTCAGTTCTACCAAGATTCCTAAGATAAGGAAGCCCCAAGGGACCTGGATATCTCTGTGAAAAGAATTAGGAGTTGGGAAGGTAAAGAAAGGACAACCAAAGCTCTTTTAATAAATTACCTTCTATGACTGTTACTTTTATTAATTTGCATTGGATCTTTGGTAGTCTTGTTGGACCATCTGCTTCATAAAGGGATTGGCCAGTTCGAGAACTTGGAAAACATTGGCTTTAAGAGTAAAGGACACATATGTGAAAATTTCAGTACTTTAAAGGAAGATGCTGCTTAGATAACAAACATTGAAGAGGAGAAACTAGCCTGCTTGCTAATGCAGGTACTGCCTTCTCTCAATTGGGAAAAGTGCTAAGTAACTAGGCACCATCTGAGGAATCAGTACATATTAACACATAAATGGGTACTTACAAGCCAACTTCTTCCGAATGGCTCTGGAGCAATGAAGCGAATTTCCTGGTGAGGGCCTGGTTGGGTTTTCAGCCAATCCAGGAAATGAGCATCACTTGTCCCACTTGACTAGACAGTGGTCCATTTGGCTGACCACACAGTTCCATCCTCACCCAAGTTTCTGTGCCTGAAACAGCAATAATAGAGACCTCATTTAAAACATTGGTCTATGAGTTCAGAACAGTGACAAATTAAGTGTCACTATAAGGATGTATGCAATTCATCAGCATAAAGTCCCCAAGGAGATGCCAGACACCAGCAGAAAAGCCATCTTCCCAAATTGCTATATAATAATGAAAATCCTTGCTCATTATTCTAAGATCAAAATAAGAAACCTTGAAATATTATCTAGTTTTATTCCCTGCCTCCATGCACCCTGAGCCTACCATAGCCTTACCAACATTTATGCCAGATCTCCGAACAAAGGAAGTCGGGTGAGGTACAAAAACCCTCCTTTTGCCTGTTGTCATCCCTGTCTACTCCTATAGTCTGTTTGAGTGCTGAGTGAAAGATCCCCAAACTTACCAATGTAGGAGATAACATCATGTGGCTGATAAGTGAGATAAAGGTCTAACAAGCCAGCATTCACATTTGGAGAGTTTAATTATATATTTTGCAGGTAGATTATTTAATTTGCAAAGAAAACAACAACGTACTACATTTATCTTGAAAAATAATAGAACACTCTTCTCTTTTTGCCTAATTTTAAAAATGTGAGATTGCATATCATAAAATGTTTAAATATATGCCAATAATACATTGTCTCATGAACTAGAACAACGTTATTGAGGTAAGTTTTAAAGAGTACCACCCAAAGTGGTAAAGAAAATGGCCCAAGGTCACACAGCCAGATGTGGGAAAGCCTTGATTTAAACCCAGCTGTGGGGCTCCCCTGGTGGCGCAGTGGTTGAGAGTCCACCTGCCGATGCAGGGGACACGGGTTCAAGCCCCGGTCCAGGAAGATCCCACATGCCGCGGAGCAGCTGGGCCCGTGAGCCATGGCCGCTGAGCCTGCGCGTCCGGAGCCTGTGCTCCACTACGGGAGAGGCCACAACAGTGAGAGGCCCGCGTACCGCAAAAAAAATAAAAAATAAAATTAAAATTAAAAAATAAAAATAAAAATAAAAAAAATAAAATAGAATAAACCCAGCTGTGATCAAATGCTTTATGATGACCGAGCATTTTAAGAGTATTTCAGAATGCTTTCTTGGTTTCTGTCTCTCCCTGTTTGTCTTTAGTTTTCATTAATCAGATTTTTAATACTGTAAAGTACTCCATTATACTTGCTCAAAGAAAGAATGAATCTCTTGGCTTCCCTTTTGGTTCCTGAACTGGTGGCTGGGGTCCTCAAGGCTGTGCCAGCTCTGGGACACTGAGGGCCACCAGGCTTACGACTTCAGCCTGAATTTGACAACTTTTAGTCCCCAATTTCTCCTTTAATTCTTTAAAGCTCAAAACACTTTAGTTGAACCAGTGGGTTAATCTATGAGAATCAATAAAGACAGTGTGAAATTTCATTTCACATTCATGAAATGGTGATGTCTGGGTGGGAGAAAGGAAAGCATAATCAGAACCTGTTTCTTAGGAAGAATAAGGACCCCACATACACACCTAAGGTATTCCACATACGCACCTAAATTATTCCACATACGCACCTAAGGTATTCCACATATGCACCTAAGGTATTCCACATATGCACCTAAATTATTCCACATACGCACCTAAGGTATTCCACATATGCACCTAAATTATTCCACATACACACCTAAATTATTCCACATATACACCTAAATCTATGGCTCTCAGCCCTCACTTGCCTCATTTTGCACAGTCCATTAGCACCTCTTCCTATAGCTGAAGACTGGTCTGGTTTAGATGCAGTGGGCATCCTCACTAACATTGTCTTACTACCATCCTAGAATCCCTTGCCTTCCAAACTTCAGTGACCTGCTTTGCTAATCCCTGGATCTGTATCCTTCAATGGACATCTGTCTCCAGTGCTAGGGAAA